AAAAAAAAAAAATTACCCCCTCCCCCCACCTTCCACCAACCGACCCCTAAATTTTTTTGTTTTTCAAAAACAAAAAAACATCTATTTCATTTCACATATATGGGCTGGATATGAATTCTCATGTTAACCCATTTTGTTCATATTTGTATGAGCTTAAATAGATTGAAGACCATATTAACCCATTTAAGAAAATGAGTGATCCATTTAATTTAATATGGGCAAAATGGTTTCATTTCACTTATATGGGCTGAAATTGCCACCCCTACACTTTCTTGTATCATCACTCACCAAAAATGCAAAAATAAAATCATAAAAATGCACAACTACAGCAATTCTATTACTGTACAAAAAATGTACTGATAAAAAATCTCTCAAAATTTCCATTTCTATATTTGTCTTTGCAATTATTTCCTATTTTCAGACTCTTTTAAAAGGAATTCATCACTTTTGTGTGGTCCAGTTGATGAGCTTTGCATACTTGAGGACCCAGTGGTGGTGGCATAAGATGATGATTCATCAAGTTTATAGAGTGCACTTGATACTAAACTTCTTATACTGGATTTGACTGAACCGCCAACTAATAAGTTCGAATTTAAGAATGGTGGTTGGCATGGTTCTGGAATTTGATAGCCCTCACACGTTAGCATTTGGACAACTTCACTCATTGATGGTCTTAAAGCGACAGAAGCTTGAGTGCACAACAACCCCACTTTTAGTACCTTTGATGCCTCTTCTGGCGGAAAATCGCCTTTCAATAGAGGATCTAATGCTTCAGTTACCTGATTTGTTGTGTACAGCTTCCACACCTGAAACCAAAATGACAATATACTGAGTTAAGTTATATGATAAAAATAGTTTTTTTTTACTTTACTACAAAAGTTCAATGATATTCATATAATGACCATGATAAAGAGAAATTTATAGCATTCTTACTGTTTGTAGTAGAGAGCCAGAGTCCTCTGCAAAGGCAATACTTTTTCTGCCACTAACGATTTCAAGAACAAGCACCCCATAGCTATAGACATCAGCCTTCTCTGTTAGCTGACCTTTTACGAGGTATTCAGGAGCCATATATCCTCTGTACACCGAAAATCACAGATTAAGTTTAAGAAACGGACAAGTGTTTGTGAACTGTATTGATAAGTATTTGTGAATTGTTGACTTACAATGTTCCAGCAATTCCAGTGCTAAGATGAGTTTTGTCAGCTCCAAAACACCGAGCAAGTCCAAAATCAGCAATTTTTGCTTCAAGATTTTCATCAAGAAGTACATTGGAGCTCTTGATGTCCCTATGGATGATTCTGATCTCTGAACCTCCATGAAGGAAATCAATGCCTTGTGCTGTTCCAACTATAATACGGAAACGTTCTTCCCAACTTAGGATCTTTACCTTGTCCTTATCTACAAAAAAAATTCAACAACTCAATTAGAAGTCTGCAACTGTCACAACTTAGAAATGTATAGGTGGGAACAATGCTGTGTCAAAATCCAGGTTCAACTGTCAAGCTATTTTCCACTCTGCCCCAAACTTTGGGGCCTCACGTTTTTGTCACATTGGGTTTTACCCTTTGACAGTTGGATTCCTTAACTTTCCCTTTTTATGTATGGAACAAGAAAGA